TTCATCTCTCCGCCCTTCAATTAACCCCACATGTTTATCGGCCAGGTTGGTACAATAAACGTTAACTATCTCAGAAGGTGACTAAAGATACTATAGCTTAGATCAGAAAAAATGCTCAGAGCTGACAAGTAGTTGTGGGTTTTTGTTGTTGTTGTTGTTGTTGTTTGTTTTTAGCTCAGAAGCATGAGATGGTATAGCAGACAGTAAAATGATAATTCCGAAAGGGCTCGCTCATTCTATTAAGATTTTTCAAGAGGATTTCAGGAAGACAAGGCATGTCTTCGCGGACTTCTCCCTTAACTAAAGACCGCCAGAGAGAGCAGCTCTGGGATTAAAAATAACAACACAGTCGTTCAAAGGCTGGAGAAGCAAGTTCTTTGCCACTTCGTTTTCCCCTCAGAATTGATTTAGGGAGCAAAACTAGATGCAGGAAGTATTACATCAGAGCCACACTCAGAACAGGTGTACTGTTCTCTTCCATTTCACTTGAAGGAACAGAGCCCTCTGAGTGAAACAGGACAGGCCACGCGAAGGACAATTAACCCAACTCACAGCCATCGAGATGCCCACTCACAGCGCCCCTGGAGGACAGGGTAGAACTGCCCTCAAGCGGGGTGGAAAGCACCATCTTTCTCCAGGGGAACAATGGGTGGTTTCAAGCGGCTGACCCACCTCAGAACCACTGCCCAGCAGGGCTCCTCCTAAGGCGCCCGGAGAGTCAGCGTCAAAGCCTTCTTTTACCTACATGGCCCGTCCACTCCCCGCTGACTGCGTCCGTGGGGCCGGAAAGGAGGAGACACAGGCGAAAACAGCAGGAGGGACGGCAAGGAAACCACATGACCTGGAGGGAAATGACTGTGGATCATATACGCCTGGGTGTCCTGGTGACTGTTAAGAAAGGATTCTTTAAAATTATGTAAAATAAAATCAGTATCCATCTAGCACAAACTTTAGAGATGATTTCAATTCGAATAACTCCTACACACGTTCCACGGTTTGGTCCATCTTCCTAGCTTATTAAGTTGTTTT